CCAAAAACCCATCTCATTTTCCAGTGCTTTCAAACTACCTGGCAAGTCAGTGTACTTCACTCCAAACACCGCGGCAGGTTTTCCGTTAGCGTTTGGTCTGTGCACACGCTTCCACGCCCTGCTCGCGCCGGGCCCACCGCACCCCTTGACCAGTCCAGGTAAACACGTGCACCCAGACGCCGCCGCGGAGGAGAACGTCCCCTCCGCCTCCGCCGCCCAGCGCCGGCCCAGCCCCGCGCCCCTGACCTGACTTCCCTGACCTGAGTCCACGTAGCCCGTCCAGCGCTGCTTCTGGGAGAAGCCACGCGGTGCGCGCCCTGTGGGGCAGCTCACGTCCCCCGAGCCGCGTCACGGGGTGTGTGCTCCCTCCTCACATCACGTGTCCGTGCTTCGTGTCCCACCTCTTCTCACCTGGTACCTGGGCAGTAGCCAGTTTTTGCTATTATGAGCAAGACTTCTGCGAACATTTTTGGGAAGCCCATTTTGTGGATGCATGTTTTCACTTCTCTTGAGCAAATACCTTGGAGTGCGGCGGCTGGGTCTCAGAGACAGGGTGGCCTTAGTTTTATAAAAACCTGCAGGCTTTTTCCTGTGTCTGTACACCCCAGCTGCCCGCCCAAGGTGGGGAATTTTGGTGGCTCCACGTCCTCCACGGCTGGGCATGTTGTCTTTTTTCTTTTTTTTAAGATTATTTATTTTGAGAGAGAGAGAGAGAGAGAGCGTATGCATGAGCAGGGGAGGGGCAGAGAGAGAGGGAGGGAGAGAGAATCCCAAGCAGGCTCTGTACTGTCCACACAGAGCCCGACGTGGGGCTCGACTCACAAACTGGGAGATCATGACCTGAGCTGAAACCAAGAGCCGAGGGCTTAACCGACTGAGCCTCCACCGCCCACCCCCCCCATGCCCTGTGTGTTGTCTTTTTAATCTCAAGCACCTAGATGAGTTTGATGAGTTTTGACAAATGGCATACACCTCTGCCATCTGGATGGAGAACACTTCCATTGCCTGAAATGTCCCCTCCTGCCCTTTCCACTCACCCCATCCAGACACGATCAGGACCCACATCCGCCACCAAGGACCCCTGGGTGCTGCCCTCCCGATCTCTGGCAGCCGCTCACCCGCCTGCGCGTCTGGGATTCCAGCTTGCTTGTGGGGTTTGTGGTGTTGCCACGTGTCAGAAAGGCACCTTGTATTTCCAGAATTAGAACGTGTGTCCTGTTCTTCCGCTGCCTCGCCCCTCCTGGTGTGGACGTGGGCTTACCCGGGCGGCCTCCGGTGCTGCGTGCAAGCTCTGAGGATGGGAGGTCCCTGTGCAGATGCGCATTGGCTGTTGGGCGAACCCCCCGGGCCCTTGCTGGCTTTGTGTGAAGCTCCCTTTGCTCCACGTCATCTCAGCACTTGCTCTTGTTCCTCGGTCACTTTGTAGCGTTCCGTGGGGCGTGCTGTCTCCTCCCTTCCATTTGCAGCTCCCTGATGGGCCACGTGGTCGCTCTTCTCTCCCTGTGTATCAGTCACTTGTGTGGCTTTCCTCGTCAGGGTCCCTCCAGGCCGGTTCGCGCCATCGGGTTTGAAACGTTGGCCGTGTGGAGCCGATGCTGGCCCGCTTACCCGCCGCCGGCGCTCTGCTTTGCCCGAGTGTCTGTTCGAGCCTTGAAGGCGTTCTGGTTGTCGTTGAGCGTGTGTGTTCTGGGTACGAGGCCCTCACCAGGTGTGTGCTGTGCAGACATGCCCTGTCTTTGCTTCGTGTTTTCACCTAACATTGTTTTTGGAGGAGGATACATTTCACATTTTTGATGAAGCCCAAATTGTGAACATTTTTCTTTTATGGCTTTTACATCACAGAAGTCGTTGCCGAGCCCCATGTGCTTTTCCTGGAAGTTTAACAGATTTCGGTGTGACACTCAGGTCTGTGGTTCACATTGTTTTTCGTACACAGGGGTCTCGTTCCGGTACTTTTTGCCAAAAGCTTGTCTTTTACCCACTGAATTCCCTTGCTGAGCAAGTGAGGAGATAAATGTTAGGCAAAATACACACTTAATCTTTGTTGAACTGGATTGTACCCGTTTCGGTGTGATTTGGGCTGTGACCACCCGGCTGGGCGGGCTCTCTGACACATGGGAGCCTGTTCGGTGGACGAGACGTCAGGCCGAGCAGGGCAGGGCTGCGACATCTATGCCAACATTCTCAAGTGCCCCTTGTGAGCACTTTTAGGAATTGTAAAGAGTGGAGATTTGGGGAAACGTTAGAAACTGGGTCCTGGCTCTCGACCAGGCCGTGCCCCCCAGGACGCCCTGGCTGTGAGGTCAGTGCCCCTCGCCCTGACCCTCCCAGCCTTCCACCCTCCGTGGCAGCCCTGTCCCCCAGGCTCTGGGCCTCACGTGCCTGGAACCCACTCTTTGCTGCCCCGAATCGGCCCATACCACTGCCTGATCTAGTGTGATCATTTAAACATTCTGCTTATTTTCATTATCTTTTTTGCTTTTCAGTTGAAGATTGTAAGCTAAATTTTCAAGTGTTACGGTGTATCATTTATAGAAGAGAAAAAAAAACCCACTGTATTCCCCTGTAGAAAAAAACCTTTACAATTAACATGTAGCCCTTTACAATTAAATGTTGATATTTTTAATCCTGTTTTCTCCATTTATTAAAAAGAGGTCAGTGGAGCACCCAGGTGGCTCAGTTGGGGAAGCGTCCGACTTCGGCTCAGGTCACGCCTTACAGTTTGTGAGTTGGAGCCCCACGTGCAGCTCTGTGCTGACGGCTGGGAGCCTTTGGGTTGTGTCCCCCTCGCTCCCTGCCCCTCCCCCCCACATGCTCTGTCTCTCTCAAAAATATATACACATTAAAAAAATAAAAGAGGTCTGCATCAGGAAGTCGCCCCACGTGCCTTCCTGCCGCTCATGCGGTTGGCGTGTGGTCACCTCTTGCTGCCGCATGCGTGTGGCGTGTCTGCAGGCGAGCCACTGCCCACGTTGACCCCGTGTCCAGAGGAGGCACAGCTTGTGTGCACACGTGTATGAGTAAGCATGTGCACATGCACACATGTGCATGTGAGCAAGCGTGCATACGTGAATGAGTGTGTGTGCGCGAGCATGTGTGAGCAAGTGTGTGTGTGAGTCTGAGTGAGCATATGAGCAAGTGTATGTGAGTGTGTGTGTAAGCCTCTGTGTGTGAGCAAGCATGTGAATGAACATGTGCATGTGAGCAAGTGTGTGTGAGCATCCGTGTATGTGAGCAAGCATGTGTGTGAGCATCTGTGTGTGTGAGTGAGCTGTGCATGTGAGTGAGCATGTGAGCGTCTGTGTGCGTGTGAGTATGCGCACGTAAGTGAGCGTGTGTGAGAGCCTCTGTGTGTGTGAGCCAGCACGTTTATGCATGCACACGACCATGTGGAGGTTCCAGATATAGGAATACCTACGTTACTAACTTACAAGTGAATTTTGGGAGCTCAGTCCATTTTTCAGACTGAGATCGGATGCTTGGTGCCCATGCCAGCCTGAGTCCTTGGATGTCATCGGGACAGGCAGCCTCCGTCTCCGCTCCAGAACCTCCCTGCACAGACAAGCCTTAGGCGGGGGGCGGGAGTGTCCGTGCCAGGCCTGCGATTCGCAGGGTGGGCTGCGTGAGGGGTGCAGAGGGCTGCTTGGACATCCATCCTCGAAGCTCCTGGGGGAACTCACTGCGACGTAGAAGGGTCAACGGCCTGCGCACGCATTGCCTTGGCTTCCTGGGTCCGTGCACGGGGCGGTGTGTGTCAGCGCTTTGGGCCTTTTCATGGCTGGGCATAGTCTGCCGTGATGTGTGCCAGCCGCTGCTAAGCACGTGGGCTGTTTTGTCTGACTTATGACCAGTGTCTCTGTGAGTGTGCACGCACGCCGCCCTGTGGACGTGCCCCATTGCCCTGGGCGCTGGCCCTCCAGGGGCGCGTCAGGCCCTCCCGCGCGGCCGTGCCATCGGACGGTCGTGGCGGAGGGTGTTCCAGGTCCCTCTTGTCCTCAGCTCTTTTTACCATCCAGTGCTTGGGGTGCAGCCGCCCCGCGGTGTGGCTTCTGGGTGCATCTCCCTGAGGACTGGGGGTGTCAGATGCTGCTCGCTGGTCACTTTTGGGTCTTCTTTGGATGAATATCTGCTCAGGTCCTTTGCCCACTTTGGAATTAGGTTGAGTTGGAAGCATCTGGAACTATTCTGATCAGGTCTTCGAGTCGGATCCATGGTCTGCAAATATTCTCACGGCTTGTCGCCTTTCTTCCTTTCCTTTTTAAAAAAATTTTTTAAAAATTTATTTATTTATTGTGAGAGAGAGAGAGAGGGGGGGGTGAGGACAGAGAGAAGGAGGGAGACAGAGTCTCACGCAGACTCCGTGTTGTCCTTGCAGAGCCCGACGCGGGGCTCAAACTCGTGAGCCTCGAGAAGATGACCTGGGCCGAAATCAAGAATCAGACACGTAACTGACTGAGCTCTCCAGGTGCCCCCCTCCCCCCGTTTTAAAAATTTTAAGTGGACTCCGTGCCCGCCAAGGGGCTCAGGCTCAGGACCCTGAGGTCGAGCATCACCCGCTCCTCCAACAGAGCCAGCCAGGCGCCCTGTCTTCTCGCGTCTCGCTAGCCTCCTCTGAGACCTCGAAGGTTCTGGTTTTGCCAAAGCCCAGTTTACCTGTTTGGTTGCGGGCTGTCGCTGTCCAGTCCCGGGGCCCGTCGCCAAGGCTGAGACCGTGCCTGTACTTTTAGCTCGTACGCTGGGTCTTTGATCCCTTTTCTGTGTCGCCTCTTCTCAGAGAGATGAAAATGTTGCAGGAACGTGACAGCCTCTGTCCTGGGGGGGTGTCCCCCACTGTGCTGAGTGGAGCCCCTGCCTGAGGCAGGTGAGGGGCCTCCGCCCGCACGACGGGGCTGGAGTTCGCAGAAGCAGCCGGGCGCCTGGAAGCCACACCCTGGCTTCTCCCGAACGTGCCAGTTTCCCGTGGAGACTCTCAGGTGACCTCTGTGTGTTTGCTCCCCCAGGCGCCGACCTGACCCTCGCCGAAGCCAGCAGCTCCGACAGCCGCGGGGACAGGGCTGAGCTCTACGGCCACGTGGACGAGGGTCTCCTAGGAGGAGAGGCCAGCTTCCTGGGCCCGCCCCTCACCCCCGAGAAGGACGAGGTGCTGCACCAGGCCACCGCGGTGGCCAACCTGCGGGCGGCGCTCATGAGTAAGAACAGCCTGCTGTCCCTCAAGGCAGACGTGCTGGGAGACGACAGCTCCCTGCTGCTGGAGTACCTGCCCAAAGGCACCCACTCCCTGTCCCGTAAGTGCTGCGCGCCCTGTGCCGGAGCAGGTGGCCGTGAGGTGGTGGGGAGGGGCGCCTGTCCGTCGGGAGATGGGGACGGTGGCCGCACTGGCCTGGGGTCACGCGGGAGGCCGCGTGGTAGAGAAGGTGGTTGATGCTCGGTTGTCAGGGCAACAGCAAGTGCTTGTTCGAACGCGTCAGGCTGAAGTCCCTGAAATCGAGGCGTCTGCACCAAAACCCGCCTCAGGCTTCTAAGTGCCGGGAAGCGTGGCCCCGTGCGCGGTGAGCGAGGTGGGACCGACCGGGACTCGGGCTCCCTCTGCTGGCCCTGGTCCTGCCCGGGCGCCCGTGCCTTCGTCCATTCACAGGGGGAGCGGCCCGCGCCACACATATCCTTGCTTTGTTCCCGCTAGACGTGCTGGTCACACCTGAGTGTTTAAAGGCGTTGGGTGCTCGCTGCTTAAATCAGCTCAACTCCACTTGTCCCGAAGCCAATGACAGACCATCCTGAGAAGCAGCGAAAGGGGCAGCGGAGCCGTGGGCGCCCAGACGTCCTTCTCCCGACCAGCCACGGGGCATTGGGTTTTACGTGTAACCAGCCGTGAGCCCACTGGGTGCCAGGCACAGACGCCCTGAAGACCCAGTCTGGGGGCGCTCAGGGAGCATGGCGGTCTCAGTGCCCTGGGGGAGGCAGCGTCGGTGTCTGGCCGTCCTGGGATTCGCGCACGGTGTGTGGGTGGTGCGCCCCTGGGCGCCGGGGGGGTTGGTGCGAGGCCTGTGAGCCTGTGGAACACGAGGGGTGGCCCGTGTGGACGCAGCGGTCGCCCGAGCACCATGGCAGGAAGCAGGTTCATCGTCTGTTCAGGGTTTGGGAAGCGCAGCCCTGTTTTCATGCTCAGTGTAAAAAAACAGTATTTTTACAACCTTGTTTTCACGAGCGCTGACGTTTCCTAAGCTTTGTGCTGGGGCGATGAAGACCCGCTGTGGCCAGTAAAGACTGAAAGTGGGACCGACATGTCCATTCTCCTCATTTCCCGGGATGGGAGCAGCTGCTGCCGCATTCAGAGCAGCCTGGATGCAGGGGTCGGCTCGCGGGACTTGGTTTGAAGTCAGACCCAGAGCCGAGCACCTCGCCGGCGGCCGCTTGGCTTGGGCGCTCCGTGACACGCGCGTTGGGCTCAGTTCCTCAGCTGACAAGTGAGTGGTTTGACTTTAAAGCAGTAATTGATGCCTGTGGACCTTGGGCGCGTGAGCGGCGCTCGGACGACCTGCTCCACACGTCGGTCCCGCCGTGTCCACGTCAGACCCTGTGCTGTGGGCAGGCCTCTTGGGCCGGGGCGGCCCCAGGACGCTTGAGTGGCGCTGGGGGACGACGGGACAGGTTTTGTGGATCTCACGGGGGGAGCACACGGGGATGGACCAGGAACCGGTGGCCGTGTGGGGAGGTGGGGGCACACGCAGTCTGCCCCCCACACGCTCCTCATGCCCGCGTGGAGGCCACACGTCACAGACTGCGGGGGCCCGACCGGTGCCTCTGCTGCCGAGGGTGACTTTGGAACACGGGGTGGTTAACAGTGCCTTTCACCACCTCCCTGCCTCCAGCGTGGCCTCTTCCCCAAGGTGTGTCTGTGCCGGGGGCCACCCCAGGTCAGGCACTGGGCCTCGTGGGGCGGGCTGGAGGGATGGGGAGCCGGGCCATAGAACCTTCTGCTGCTTCTTTTTAGCGCGTCTGTGACTAGTTTTGGGTGAAGTCTCTCCGTGGGTTTTGGTGTTTTGTTATTTCTGTTATTTTGAACTTCTTTGCTTTTAGGATTCTAAATTACCCATTTTTCTTGGAAGAACCTACCAGAGGCAGAGGGGCCAGAGATCGTGGTGTGAAAATGGGTTATTTTAAAACATTATTTTCTGACGTCCTACGTAAAGCCTGTTTCTGGGTATTTGTTACAGCGAGAATGAAAGTGCCCAGGGAACAACTGTTTCCCAGGACGCTGTGGTCGGCCGCTGGCCCCGCCCCCTGCCCGGTCCCTGGCGGGTGGCTGCGTGGGATCAGGCGACGGAGGCTGGGCTGCGGTTGGGTCAGCACAGGCGGGGCCACCTGTCCAGCACCCGCTTTCCACACGGTTGTCACCGCGAGGGCGTCAGTATTGGCGTGTGGCCTGGGCCACTCTGCACGTTTCTGCACCGCGAGAAGGGGCCGCAGTGACTCCCGTGTGCTGTCCGCTCTGTGGTTCCCGGTGTCCCGCACGTGGCCAGGGGTCAGGGTTGCCCCTCCGCGGCCACGGCCGGTTTCCAGATGTGCCTTTGTCCGGGGGAGCGCGTGTTCCATTCAGGGGAACGCGGCCCGGCAGGGCCTGGCTCGGCGCTTCGGTCCCGGGCCTCCCTCCTCGCGCCCCAGCCCCCGCTCAGTGTGCAGACGTGCTCCCAGGGCCCGGGCGCCCCTGGCGGCTGACGTCTCCGGCCCGGTGAGCAGGCTGTGTGTGTGCACGAGCCTTCCACGGCGCATGGAGGAGGCGCGCTGATAGCAGAGTCCTGGGGTGGTTCCCGGCCAAGGGACCACCCGTAGCTCAGGCAGGTGCAGGGGCCTCTGCTTCCTCCTCGGGCGGCTCAGAAAGGAGAGGGGCCTGGGCTGTGGTGTCGGGCGTCCCCAGAGCCTGGTCTGGTGCGAGAGGCGGGGAGCGCCAGAAGGCCAGACCGTGGTAGCTCCAGCCTCCCTGGGCTGGTCGTTAATGGTGCGCATTTTGTTACATGGTGTCTGGAGTGCCCCAAATGGGTCCACATCCCAGCAGACGTGGGCTCGTAGTTGGAGAAGCGAGAGGAAGGCGTGGCATTCAGCACTAGCAGCCGCCGGGCACGGGGTCCCGTCCCCACTCTGCCAGGCCTTCCTGAGGCGGGACGTGCTGTGGCTCAAGCTCCGGCCGTGGCAGTTCTGCAGGTGTGTAAATCAAGAGGCGTGTCCCACGTGCGGGCAGCGCATAAGCGGGAGTCCGCGGCTGGCGTTCACGGGTCCTCCTGAGCGGTCTGGAACCTTCTGGGGAAGGTCGAAAAGGTCTAGTCATATTGGCCTGGATAGTAGGTTTATCAGACAGTTTCATTTCTTGATCAACAGTATTTAACTGATTAAAGGGACTTTTGTGCTTTTCACGTTGATTTAGTTTAACTTGGTTCTTTTACTTTCACCGTGTGTCCAACGGTCGGCCAGCACCCCCTGTTCACAGCCCTCGTTCACGGCGTGGAGCCTGAGCAGCATGGGCCCCAGACCCAGCCCTGCTGCATTTGCGAGCGTGTGCTGGTCTGAGAGGGACCTTGACACAGGTGTCCCCTTCCTGGGGCCGAGCTGCCTGTGCAGCAGGAGGGTGGGTGCCTTGCAAAGCTGCCACGTCCCCCCAGTGGCCGACATCGCCCAGCTGCCGCGGTGTTAGGTCGGTAGATACTACGTGGGAAGAATGAGCTGAGGTCCCCCCCACCCCTGTGCTTATGGTGTCATATCTGAGCAGAACGTCATGCCACGTCCCCTCCAGCTCTTCACGGGGAGGGAAGCCACGAAAGAGCACGGCGTGGCCACAGGTGGGGGCTTCCTGCACGGGCCTGGGAGCCTGGCCCGGCCTGCAGGCCCCAACACCCAGGCGCACGTTATGGGAAACAGCGGAATGGGTGTCTGTTTAAAGATTATTTCCCATCGTGTGTAAAAACATGAATCAAGGATGACCTTTTCTTGATTCTGGATTGACCCTGGAATTTTAAACAACTTCTTGCAAAAAGGCATTGGATGATGTCACTGCACTTCTAGAGAAATGACCTGCTCGACACGCCTCGAAGCGCTTGGTGGAAGATCGTTTGTCAAGGCCACAGGTGCGCACGTGCTTGTGTTCGCACAATGTCTCCTTGCCTTCTGTGCCAGAACCCCCATTGTAATCATTTTGCTTCTGGGAGAGAAACCTCTCCCCCAGACAAGTGGCATGTGGAGACCCTGCTGTTTGGGGGTGGCAAGCTGATAAAAGTACCCAAACACCAGCCTCTAGCGAGACCTGGCTTCGTCACATGGCAATGCTCTGCTCACGGCATCAGGATCAAGGACTCCTGGAACTCTCCAGAACAAGCCCGCCAGCGGGGATCCCTTCACGTGGGTGAGACTCGTTTCCTGTGTTCCCAGGGCCCGCCACCAGCCCGAGTCACTCTTGGGGTTGCTGACCGCAGAGCAGAAGCCCCCCTCTGGCCCCTCCACCCTGCACTCAGAGCCCAGGACACCTGCTCTGGTGACGGCCAGCCCAGGTAAGAAGTGAGAGCGGCAGGCACGCGCCCTAAGTCCCACGTGCACGCAGGTGCATCCCCGGCGTGTCCTGGGCCATCCTCAGGGGCTCATAATGCGCCTCCGTGGCAGCTCCTGTGCAACTAGACGTCGCTGATGCTCAGCTCAGCCGGTGAGAGGAAGTCGCTTCAGGCTGACAGAGTCACAGGCTTTTGCCGGGTACCTGTCAGCTCTCTCACAGCGCTGGGTGTGTGCACGTGTGTGTTTACCGAGGCACGGCTGACACAGTGTCCCATTCCGTGCCGTGTGCGCAGCCCGAGTCCACGGCCCTGCGTGCCCTGTGCGCCCAGAGCACCCTCCACCTGTCACCCCTGATTATGCTTCCTCTGCGTGCTTCTCACGTTTCACATTCGTGTAATATAAACACGTACATAAATAAATGTAAACACAAGTGCATCTTTTAAAATTAATTTTTATTTTGAGAAAGGTACAGAGAGAAGGCGGGGGAGGGGCAGAGAGAGAGGAGACAGAATCCCAAACAGGATGTGGGGCTCGAACTCAGGAACCAGGAGATCATGACCCAAGCCAAACTGGGGAGTCGGGATGCTTAACCGACTGAGCCCCCCAGGCGCCCCTAAAAGTACATTTTTATATTTAAATTAAGAGATTTTTCTGAGGAATCTGCCCTGATGTGAAGACATTTGATTCGTCAACCGTGGGTGAAAGAGCAATGCTGGCTGGTCGTGGGCCGGCTTTGCAGGCGGCACACTTG